ATGTAAAGTGGGAGGAAGAAGGAGGAAGGGGAGGACATTTGGAGTGATGGTGTTTGTCTTCTCAAGTCACCATTCTGTGTGATGGGCCCTGCTCTCCTGGAGGCGCTGAACACCTCCTGCCTGTGGGGAGCAGGGAATTAATTCCTTGCTTTCCTTTGTTTATGTGTGCAGCTTTTGCTTTATTAAACTGTCTTTATCTCAACCCATGAGTTTTCTAGTTTTTACCCTTCCGATTGTCTCCCCATCCCCCCAGTGGGCAGTGAGGGAGCAGCTGTGAGGTGCTCTGGGGTTCAGCCACAACAATCAGCTTCTTGATAGTGATGTACATAAGTGACTCCTAATCTTTAGCTGTGAAAATTCTTTGTAGGCTACTGTCACACCTCAGTGCAATGTTATTTGTTAATACACAGCTGTCCCTTTGTTCTGCTCTGAAGTGCAATTTTGCAACACAAAGTAGGGACTCCAGATGCTGTTCTGACAAGAGACAGCTTTCTCTGACATTCACAGAACTATTGTTCCTCATCTTCTGCTTCCTACAAACTAGTTTTGCAGTTTTCTGGTGCCCCAGTGTGATGCATGGTTTTAGTGCTACTGGCTCTGAAACAGAGAAACTTTCCTGGTGTCTAAGACAAATTTCACAGAATCAGAATAATCAGAATTGGAAGGGATCCTTAAGGATCATCAGTCCAACTCCTGCCCTGCACAGGACATCCCTGACAATCACACCCTGTGCCTGAGAGCATTGGCCAAACACCTCTGGAGCTCTGTCAGCCTCGGGGCTGTGCCCACTGCCCTGGGAGCTGTTCAGTGCCCAAACACCCTTTAAACCCCAGTGCAGCAGAAAATGTGACAGAGGAGACCACATACCATAAGGAAGGAATATCCAATCCACAGACTGCGCCAGCCTTCAGGGCAGTGAGGAATAGAAGCCTCTTGGCTATGGACAGCAATGGCCACAGCTGGGGCCTCGCAAACCGAGCAGCGACTGATGTATGGCTTGATCTCATCTTCTGCCACAGGCATCATTGGCAGAGGGGCTGTGGTGGAGAGCCAGTAGGACTTATCATTTCGACTTGCATAGTAGCAGATGTCCCCAGGGTTGCAGTAGAGGAATGGCATGGTGCTGAACAGGGACAAGCACGAGCCAGCCAGCCCTGGGGAGAAAGGAGAAGCAGAAAAGACATTATGGCAATCGTTCTCACAGAAGACAATGCATATTTTCAGCTTCCTGCTCTTTCCCAAGCACCTGCTAGTAAAACCCAGTGCTCCAGAGTGGCTTTAAAAATTGCCTAGGAGGGTCTCAAGGCACTCCATGCAGGCACACAGTTCTCATCTTCTCATTGCGGTATCTCCTAAGCCTGTTTGCTGCAGTCACAGCACTGGGAACTGCACATACCTAGATCCTGGTTGTGTGCTTTCTCCTGGCCTTCGAAGTACAGCAGGCTGTATCCACTCCAGAGTTTGTTCATGCCAACTGGGCACATTGGCTCTTGATCAGACTGGCTGTGCTTGACCAGCAGGTAGCCCATGCTGACGCTGCGGCCCTGCATGCCTGGCAGCCCAGGGCTCCCAGGGCGGCCTGGCTGGCCTGCAGAGAGTGGGGAGAGAAGGAAAACAACTCAGTTGATGCTCCCACAAATGATCTGATGCTAGCTGATATTCTAGCCAAGCTGCTGCTGAGTGAAGCTTGACTACATGGTGCTCTTCTTGTGGAAGTTATTAAAGGAAGAGCTGCAGTTCTAGGGTGATAACAGTTGGTTTTGAAGGAGGTTGGTGCTGGTTCAGCCCCTCTGGTTTCTAAGAGGATGTATTTCATGTCAGACCTAGGGAAAGTTGCAAATGAAGTTCTGATGAATTGGGGCATACTTTGTACAATACAGATCAGCAGAGTTTTCCTTCAAAAAAGTCCCAGATCAAACAATGGCTTTGGAATTGTTTGCATTTCAAGACAGGCTGAGGGAGTTGGGGCTGTTCAGCCTGAAGGTTGTGTGGAGACCTCAGAGCTCCTTCCAGCAGCTGAAGGGGCTCCAGGGAAGCTGCAGAGGGACTCTGTGTTAGGAGCTGCAGGGACAGGACAAGGGGCAATGGGCACAAATTGAAGGAGGGAAATTTAGGTTAGATCTTAGGCAGAAGTTTTCCCTGTGAGGGTGGTGAGACACTGGCACAGGTTGCCCAGGGAGGCTGTGGCAGTGTTCACAGCCAGGTTGGATAAAGCCTTGAGCAGCCTGATCTAGTGAGGAGGTGTCCCTGCCCAGGGCAGGTGGTTGGGGCTGGATGATCTCTAAGCTCCATTCCAACCCCTAAAATTCTATGATTCTATGATTTGTTTCATAGAATTCAAACTATGCTCTGCAAATACATTTTTCTCTGTGTGCTTAGCTAATTAAGACAGTAATAGTTCTGCTCTTTGATTGAATAAGGACTCAGATATTTCTTTTACAAATACATTCCCTTAAACCTCATCTATCCAAATATCGCCTACCCAGTCATTCATCTCCATGAATGCAGCTGTTAGTAAAATACTAGGCTGAAAACTCTGAAAGAGGAAAACCAATATGAAAATACACTCAGATCAAAACAAACTCACATGACTGGACTGACATCTACATCTACCAAAATTTATTCTCAAAGTATTGATTTAAGATCAACAGTTAGTTGCCCTGTGTAAGAACCTATGAAGACAGAATTTGCTCTCTCCTCTCCTTCTAGTGATGTAGTAGCTACAAAGCAATTCATTGTAGTGAAACAAGACAGAGGGAAGAGGTGCTGGGTGGTATCTCTTACCTTCAAGTCCCACTGGACCCTGAAATCCTGTTGCTCCTTGTTCACCTCTGGGACCTGGAGGAGCTGGAATTCCACCCCTGCCCTGGAGTCCTGGCTCTCCAGGTGAGCCTCTGAAACCTTGGACCAACAGTGATTGTAAGCACAGTGACTGCAGAGATATCAACATGCTACCCACTTGGCTAACACCTCCTCTACTTGTATATGGTTGGTCCTACGTGTCAGGTTTACTAATTTACACTTAAAGGCAAGATCCTATGGCCTTGCTCAGGCCAAAAGCACCAACTGCATTGGAAAAGATTGCAGGGATCAAGACTACACAAGCCTCATCCTTCACTCTTGGTACCACCCAACTCTGATGAGGCTCACAGCAAGAGGTTCACTGCACAGGATCCACACACCACTAACACTACATTATTCCTGGAATGCTGCACACAGTTCTGGTGCCCTCAACACAAGAAGGACATGGAACTGTTGGAGCAAGTCCAAAGGAGGACACCAAATTGCTAAGAGCACTGGAGCATCTCCCTATGAGGACAGGCTGAGGGAGTTGGGGCTGTTCAGCCTGGAGAGGAGAAGGTTGTGTGGAGCCCTCAGAGCCCCTGCCGGGATCTGAAGGGGCTCCAGGGAAGCTGCAGAGGGACTCTGTGTTAGGAGCTGCAGGGACAGGACAAGGGGCAATGGGCACAAATTGAAGGAGGGAAATTTAGGTTAGATGTTAGGCAGATGTTTTCCCTGTGAGGGTGGTGAGACACTGGCACAGGTTGCCCAGGGAGGCTGTGGCTGCCCCAGCCCTGGCAGTGTTCAGAGCCAGGTTGGATGAAGCCTTGAGCAACCTGGTGTGGTGGGAGGTGTCTCTGCCCAGGGCAGGGGGTTGGGGCTGGATGAGCTCTAAGGTCCTTTTCAACCCCTAAAGTTCTATGACTCAATGATACCCTGGGCTGACAGCACACCCACAAGGATGTGCACATTTCCACCAAAGTCATTCAGTCTTGATTTGAGTGAGATCCACATCTGATACTGCTTTGGCTAGGTGAGGGGGAAAGCCAAGCCTCAGCTTTGAAAGTCCAAAAATTAACTCTCCTCTCTGGCTTACAGAATTTGAAGTAGAAGAGAGTCAAAGCTCTGGTGGCCTCACTCTCCTAAGGGGAACTGAGCTTTCAGTGTGTGATTCCTACCTGGATCGCCTGGTGGACCCTGAGGTCCTGTATCTCCTGGGCTTCCTGGAGGTCCTATATTTCCACGGGGACCTGGTGAACCCTGTTCAGCAACCAGCCTTGGTGGAAGAGGGGGCAGCCCAGGAGAGCCTGGAGGTCCCTGGAAGCCTGTGATTAGAAGCAAGATGAGATAGTTTGATTAGAAGAAGACAAACCACCCTGCATTTTTCCTTAATGTGCTCTCATTCACGGATATGTTGTTCTTACTTGGCTGCACATGGAAGAGAGGGACTACAGTCTGCAACTCATCACCTGGGGTATAGCAGCTATTTTATACTGGAGAAATGTGTGTGAGTGTGGGATCTCCAAGGTGAGACAACCTCCAAGTATGAGATAATCTCCAAGAGATTGTCTTCTCTTGGACAGTCCATAGATAAGCAGAAGGAAATGAATGATGCTACTGCTCCCTAGTTTATGCCACAGAAAGCTTGGAAGTTCCCCTCAAATAGCCAACAGCTCTTTAAGGGGCCAGCACTGCCTTTGGTGGGCTTCAAGAGACACAAATACAGTATGGTGTAGATGAAGGATCTTAAAGCTCTTTCTAAATATCCACTATGTCTGCTCTGGAGGATTCATTTAGATCAGAAATTCTTCTAGGTTTTCAGTCCTGAAAGTGGCTCTGATTTTGGATTTTTGTGCGAAGTAAATTCCTTTTTTAATTCTTCAAATTAACTTGTACCAATTAAATTCGTGAAGGCAAAAAGTTGACTACTCATGTTAAATTCTGGCATCTGTGCACTGCAATTTCCAGGAGTCACACAGTCCTGGGGGATGGAGAGGACTCTCCATCTCTAAGTCCCCCAGCCCAACCTCTTGCTTGAGGCAGGACTAGTTAGGTCAGCTGTATGGAGCTGCAAAATGAGTCACATCTCTGACTGCACTTACTTACCTGTTACTCCTCTATCTCCCTTGGGCCCGATAGGTCCCAAGTCACCTGGAAATCCTATTGTCCCCATGGAGCCAATGACACCAGGTTCACCCCGAGGACCTTGAATGAAAAACAACAGGTGGCATCATTGCACCTCAGCACACCCCAAGAGAGTGTAAAGGTCATGCCATTAAGCTGCTGTAGCATAGGAAGTTCCCAAAAGGCATTTTCCATCCTTACCTTTTGGTCCAGGGAATCCAGGAAGGCCAGGTCTCCCTGCTGCTCCAGGATCACCTCTACTTCCTTTTGGGCCAATCTCTCCAATCATACCTATTTGTCCACTTTCTCCTTTGCTTCCTGGTGGAGCAGGTGTTCCAGGCTGCCCCTGGGGTCCTGGATAGCCTGTTTAGAGGAGACAGAGGTTGTAATCTGTTTGTGCTTCAAACCTGGGCACAGAAGGAAATAACAGAAGTCTCTAATTGTATCCCATCAAGTTTTATTGCCTTAACTTAAGTGAGGAGCACATGTTCAGCTGCCCAGTAGTCACCCAGCAGTGGTGCTCCTGCTCTCAGGCTGGCACACCCTGCTGCAGGGGTGACAGGGGAATTAGGGCATGAAGCTCCCACAAAGCATAGCATTGTCCCAAACAGGGTTTCAGCAGAAGTGGAGGACAGAGCCTTCCATGAGCTCTTCCTTTCCCAACAAATGCCTCACTTCACTCCATCCCTCCTCCCTTCATCCTAGATTCTCCAAGTAACTAGAGAGAGACAGGAGAGCAGTGAGTACCTGACTCAGTGCCAGGTGGTACATAATCCAAGGACATACTTGATTCCAGATGTTCAACCAAAGCACTGAGATACATGGAACAGTAAGTACTTCTTGATGTCTTGGGAGTTATGGGAACAGCTTCTTTTTCTAGCATTGCATATGGCTTGAAGCTAAACCTGGAAAGTTTCTCTTCAGTTACCTCTGCTGCTTACAAGACATTTGGACCTTGTTTCCAAGGTGAGAGTGACTTACTGCCTAGGGGTTTGAGTGGGGCATCTCCTGTGCTGCCTTTGAAGTTGGAGCACAGGTGGATATGAATACAAGGTACATGTGGCAATGTGAGAGTGAGCCAGGCTTGTCTCACACTTTTGGCTGGGAGATAATCTTTTGACTTCCTGCCACACACCTTTGGATGCAGCCCAGGATTCCATTGGCTTTCTGGGCTGAGCTCACACTGCAGCTCATGGGGAGCTTCTCATCCACTGTCACTCCCAAGTCTTTCTCCTCACTGCTGGTTTCAGTTCCTTCCCCACCCAACTTGTAGCTGTGCCTGGGATTGCCACGGCCCAGATGTAGGGTGTAGGACCTAATACTCCTGCTCCCACTCCCCTGGCTGCTTGTAGTCTTACTTTTTAATCCAATGACTGCCTGGAGAGTGGGAATCAATATGCAGAATTAGGCCAGCTAACATTCCCTTTCCCCTTGGAAACTGTGCTGGTTTTCATCTGGTTTTTGCTGAGTTGACATAAAAATCTCCATGCATCATGTAAAGATGGTAGTGGGACACCTGCAACTTTTGCTACAAGCTCTTTGGAGTGGCACTGAGGTGTGAAATGACTGTGCAGTCCACTAGGCAAGACGTGTATCAGCCTCCAAAGAGAGGCAGGCTCATATATGTGTGAGAGGGACGGGCTCATAGCAGAGACCTTTAGAGGGATGGGCTTCCCAGTGTAACTTAGCTTCCATGGTAATTTCACACAGGAGAACTCTGTAAATGATTGAGAAAATATTCCATACCCTTGTAAATCTGCCAGAGACCTCAGATTTTAAAGCAGTAGATTAGCATATTGCTTATGAAAGTTGTTCAGGGAATTCTGGATGATTCAATCTGTTCTTTGCATGGAAGTCAAACCCTTCCATCAGGACAACCTGGAGGAACTGCCTTTTGCTGTCCCTATCATCCTATGTACCACTAGTTCTGTCCCATGCACTTCAGTGTTGTGACAGAAGCAACAATGATGCTAACCCAGTACCTAACCTCCTGAGGGTATGACCTTGTACCGAATCCTCACTGATGTCTGAGGGGAGCTAGGTGTGGATTACCTGGCACTCCATGTAGGCCTGGGGAGCCTTTATCACCAGGATATCCTGATATATTTGAAAACCCAGGAGGCCCTGGGAATGCCAAAGGGTCCTGGGACTCCTGAAAGGAAGAGAAGAAAAAATCAGTACTGCAAGGAAAATGCACAGTTGCAATTGAAAGGACTCAACTTAGACTGAACACAAAGAACGGGATTTTCCACAGGGAAAACACCTGCATTTCCCAATAATTTTTGACTTAGTTTGTCAGATGATGTTGTGCAAGTTTCTCTGAAAAGAACCAAATACTAGTCCTGTGCCAAAGCTCTCTGGATAGCTGCTCACATCCCACTGGATGAAATGCTGATAACCTTGTGCCTGCCAGGTGAAATATTACCTCAAGACTGGAATTACTCAAAACATCCTAGGTATCCTGGAGCAGGCAAGAAAGCAGCTTTGTTCCTCTGTGCCCTGTGGAGTCAGGGGTCACAGACACTCAGGGGTCACAGACACTTAGGGCTTTTTGAGGTCAGGGAAAACCAAAGGTTTTTATCCAGGAAGTTTTCTATGGCTGAAAAAATTGTTAAATGGTTCAAAATCTGCCCCAGCAGTAGCAGATTGTTCTTTTATGTCAATGGAAATTGTCAGGAAGCCAAACCCTCCCTTTTGCTTATTCATTTAAAAACCAAGTACTAACATTTAATTGTGGCAAACGAACATGAATGAGGTAAGTGAAGGAGCTGTTTCTTTCAACACTTGACAGTAACTCTCCAAATGGTGTTTGAGATGGCACAGTGTGTTGGTAACAACAAAGTGTGGCACAAAGGAGTCAGAGTGAGCCATTGAACCAGGCAGGCAGAGGCAGGAAGGTTTTATATCTGTGTCAGTCCTTAATCCTTCCAGAGCCAAATGAGTAGCAATCCCAATGCTGCAATTAGTTGATTAGTTCGTAACATCAGCCTGGTGGGTTCTTGCTGGAAGAAAAGCAGGTGGTGAGGCACACTGGGTGAAGTGCAGGCCCTGGGAGGTGGGATGGAGCCAGAGGGCTGTGCCCTTCCTCGTCATGAGGGGAGATGGTGCCAGCACAGCACTGGGCACAGGAACAGTCCCCAGGTGTCAGAGGGACCATCACAGGCTGATGGATACTGAGGCTTTCAGGGCAAAGGTAAGTATTGATAGATTTGCAACAGAAAGAGAGAAAGAAAAGCCATAGTGTTTGTGTAACTGGAGCTTCAAGAGAAACGTTCTGGGAGCTGAGAGAAGCCTTGGGCAATTGCAGCTTGCTGAGCTCTGTGGGTGCTGCAAGATGCTGCCACCACAGGGAAGGACCCAGTTCTGTCCAGTACTGGGCAATTCTCTGCTGCCCTTAGTCAAGGGCTGGCTGAGCTGCAGCACCAGCTCCAAACAGTGACCTTCCCAACTTCGGGAGTTCTTCTAATGTGACTGTCCACACCATCCTGCATTTTGTGGCAGTTCCAAAACCCACGGCTGAAACAAATAACAACTTGTGCTGGTTTGGGCTGGGACAGAGCTAACTTTCTTCCCAGTGGCTAGTGGGGCTGTGTGTTGGACTTGTGCTGAGCACAGGGGTGATAATGCAGAGGTATGTTTGTTGTTGCTGAGCAGAGCTCACACAGAGCCAAGGCCTTTGCTGCTCCCCATCCTGCCATGCTGGTGAGGAAATTGGGGGTGCATGGGAGGCTGGGAGGAGACACAGCTGGGACAGGTGACCCAAACTGACCACAGGGATGTTCCATACCATAGGAGATCATGCTCAGTATATATATATGTATATGAAGTGGGAGGAAGAAAGAGGATGGGGAGGATGTTTGGAGTGATGGTGTTTGTCTTCCCAAGGAACTGCTCCGTGTGATGGTCCCTGCTCTCCTGGAGGTGCTGAACACCTCCTGCCCATGGGGAGCAAGGAATGAATTCCTTTGCTTGTGTGTGTGGCATTTGCTTTCCCTAACAAACTGTCTTTACCTCAACCCATGAGTTCTCTAGCTTTTACCTCTCTGATTCCCTCCCCACCCACTGCTGTGAGAGTGAGCGTGAGGCTGCGTGGGGCTTGGCTGCCCCTGGGGTCAAACCACAACACAAGTGGATACCATTCTCTGGAATACAAACCTGGAACACCTCTGTCTCCCTTCTGGCCTGGAGGTCCTCTGCTGCCTTCCACTCTGCTTGGCTCTCCTGCTTCTCCTTTGTCACCCACTGGCCCTGGGAACCCTGCAGAGCCATATCCATCTGGACCTGTTGTGGAGTGGTATAAAATTGAGAGGAGAGATTAAATGTTTCTGCATGTAACATGTAACCACATACATAGCATGTGAATTTAAAAAATACATTAGTCTTAATGGCTAATTGGAAAAAAAAAAAGCTTCACAACAGAAAAAAAGGCCTTGAGGCTTTAACTTTCTGAGAGGAAAGAAGCTACGATGCCATTGTGCTGCAATCCATCTGTGGGGTCACAGAGTGTCTGAAGTTGTTTGCCAGAGCCCACAATAAAGGAGCACATTCATAGAATCCTAGAATCCTAGAATCAGCTAGGTTGGAAGAGATCTCAGAGATCATCAAGTCCAACCCTACCATCGTTACTAGATCATGGCACTAAGTGGCACATCCAGTCTCGTCTTGAATCTGAGTTTTCAAAATTCCACACTGGGCTTTGGAGGACACAGCTGAGAAAGTCATATTGCAAAGCTCTGTCTGCCCAAACTTGCAGCTAACACAAAGTTGTGCCTACCTGGTGAGCCTGGTGAGCCCTTTGTGCCTGGCAAGCCATGCAGCCCACTGATTCCTCGTAGGCCAGGTGAGCCTGTTTTGGAAAGACATTCATGATTATTATCATAGTCTGTATAAATTCCTAGGCAAAAAAATATCCAGTGCTTGAATAGATACTAGTCTGTGTTAAAATTTGGTGTATTACATGCCAATTAATTCAAGGAGCTTATTCTGAAATATACCACACTGTGGTTTTGTGATTGGCAAATTTTGTTACTATCTGATCAGCTCATTACTCTAGAGAACGAAACAGCTCTGATGCATCTGGTAACATGCCATTGCTTTCAGTCTTGCTGCCACAGGTTTTTTAATACCCATTTGGTTTTCCAGAATCCTCAAACCAAGACAATTATGGCATAATTGCAGGGTCTAAGTGTGGTTATAAGAAAGTTGTCTTCAGGAGAAATCCACTCTGTGCCATTTCAAACCCAAACCCCAACAAAATGTGTAAGAGCTGCTGTTCCTGATGTTACAGGTAAAATTTATGCCACCTCTTTGTACCTGTCAAAGTATTAAGCATGATGTTAGAGCTATGCAGATGTCTTTAACCCATGGCCAGAGCTCCAGCTCAGAAAAATGGGTGTCTGTCTCTCTCTTCACTGTCTATAAATGCAGCTCTCATAACCATATTAGCTTAGCTCTAATGCAGATTCAGACAGATGAACCTTGCTGAAAACAGGGCAGTTTCTGTCTGTAAGATAGACAAAAAATCTGCTTACTTAATATATTAAGGAGCTACTGGTGAGATTCTGTATCCTGTGATACAAACAGCTTCAGTTTAAACTAGCACCTGCATTTTGATACCACAATTATGTCTCAGCCACAAGTCATTTATCCTTGAAACGAGATATTACATCTAGTCACAGTTTCTGGTGAGGATGTGGGACAAGTACATTGCTTGCAGAGAATGCCACGTTGTAATGCTCCAATGCTGAATAGCAGTTCCCTGGCTGCATTTTAAGTGTTTTTTGGTTTTTCTCTTCCCAGCTGCCATGGAAAATGAAAATGTCTCCTGAAAACTGCTCTTCTGCTTGAAGGAAGTCATCATCAGTGAAAGGGAGCAGAGAAGACACCAGAAGTCATAAATCCAAAAGCAACCACATGTCCTTGTTGATGTACCTGGACTGTGTGAGGAATAACTGACCTCGACAGCTTGGAGAGATGGGCAGAGCAGAACCAACTGAGACTCAGCAAGGGCAAGTGCAGGTCCTGCCCATGGGGAGGGATAACCCCGAGCACCAGCACAGGTTGGCACTGACCTGCTGGAGAGCAGCTCCAAGGAGAAGGACCTAGGGATCCTGGTGGACAACAGGCTGTTTGTGAGTCACAGTGTGTCCTTGTGGCTAAAAGGCCAATGGAATCCTGGGATGCATTGGGAAGAGCATTGCCAGCAGGGCAGGAAGGTGATCCTGCCTCTCTGCTCAGCCCTCAGGAGGCCACACCTGGAGGATTGTGTCCAGTTCTGGGCTCTTCAGGGCCAGAGGGACATGGAGCTCCTGGAGCAGGTCCAGGGGAGGGCAAGGAAGATGCTGAAGGGACTGGAGCACCTCAGTGATGAGGAAAGGCTGAGGGAGTTGGGGCTGTTCAGCCTCCAGAAGAGACACTGAGAGGGACCTCATGAATGGATTCAAGCCCATGAATGGGAAGTGCCAAGAGGATGGAGCCAAACTCTTCTCAGTGGTGGAAACCAGTAACTGTTTAGTAGAGGAAACTCTGCCATTCTGAACTGCAAATAGCCCTTTTCTTCCCTTTGACCCCAAAGAAACAATAGCAATGCTGTCACTAAAATGACTGTACAGTTGGAGCTGGATCATTACCTGCTTGTCCCGGTAAGCCAGGCCAGCCAGGACTTCCCTTTTCCCCTTGAAATCCAGGTGTGCCGGGGCTTCCTTGCTGCCCTGGAGGGCCAACCAGTCCTGGCAAACCTGTGTGACAACAATGAATCATTGCTCATGAGTGTCCTCAAAACCAATACCCAAACCATGGACTTGGGCTGCCTTCATCCTCCCAGGCAGCAAACCCAAGGCTTTCTCTTCCTGATGTCACTGTGTGGCACTGCACTGCTCACCCAAGTGGGAGACAACCAGAGAGAGCCAAGGGAGGAGAGACAAGGTACAGAAGAACAATTCAGTACAAAATTCAGGTTTCTGACAAGCTCAGACAGGTAGTGAGTCCTCCTATTAAAATGAAACTTCACTTCTACTGCCAGTTACAGTAAGAATTTAATTTCTGTGCACCTCAGTTTCCCTTTCTGCTGGCACTGCTCACCCAAGTGGGAGACAACCAGAGAGAGCCAAGGGAGGAGAGACAAGGTACAGAAGAACAATTCAGTACAAAATTCAGGTTTCTGACAAGCTCAGACAGGTAGTGAGTCCTCCTATTAAAATGAAACTTCACTTCTACTGCCAGTTACAGTAAGAATTTAATTTCTGTGCACCTCAGTTTCCCTTTCTGCTGCATCTGCCTTTCTAATCTAACTGGAAAACCTGCCCCAACCCTGGCAGTGTTCAAAGCCAGGTTGGATGAAGCGTTGAGCAACCTGCTCTGGTGGGAGGTGTCCCTGCCCAGGGCAGGGGGTTGGGGCTGGATGAGCTCTAATGTCCATCCCAACCCCTAAAATTCTCTGGTTCCATGTTTTGGGGCAAACACTTTCCCAGTGAGGTATCTATCCAAACTGTTCCAGGCTTAGCTGGAGCTTCTAATCCCTCTAATTAGGGGAAATGTGGAGTATCTGCTCTGAAGGAGCATTTCCATGATCCTCCTGCAAGAAGATATGTTCTTAAGCCACAGCTGAAGCTGACTTGGGTTCCCCAGTGCTCTTGTACAGTTAGCCTGGCTCAAAGGCTCTGGAATTGTGTCCTGGGGGATGTTGACTTCATATATGGCAGAGAAGGTCACCAGAAATCCCACCTCCTTGTAGCATTGAGATAACATTAGAATACCAAAGCATGCCAGCAGTAAACACCTTGACTGGACACGTGGTTACTATCACAAAGGAAACAGTGGTACGAAGCAGAGTTAGGCTCCAGAAATTTCCTCTTAACTTCTGCTGCGAGTTCCACATTCTCATCACAGCTCCTTCCCAACTTACAGAATGATCAACACGTTCAAACACGTCATGACTTTCTATGGAAAAGAGTTATTTCCTCTCTCTTCTTAAACAGTTTTATTCTTTGGAGCATAAGAAGAATGTTTTACCTTCCTGTCCCAGGGAGCCAGGCACACCCTGCGTGCCCTTGAGGCCTTCAATGCCACGGAAACCAGGATCACCACCTTCACCTTTCGGTCCTGTGCCTCCTTTTATGCCTGGAAAACCACAAAACCAGTATATTCTTTTAATAATCTTTGTGCAACCCCGAGGTAGCAAGCAGAATGTGAACTTGGCTGCTGAAGGTCCTGGTCTTGCCACATGAAGGCAATTCTTCTAGTCAGGGTACTTGCACAGCCTGGGAGAATTGAGAGTCATCTGCCCAAACCATCATTAAATTTGCCTTTAGAAGTGTTCCCCAAATGTTGTGGAATATGATGTTCAAGTGTGCTGCATGCGCAGACAAATTTTAATATATTACCCAACCATCCCAACCCCAAATCTACCAGACTTTGCTATCCCAATGTGCTGGTTTCAGCCAGGACAGAGTTAAACCACAACGCTCAACTTCCATCACCATGGCCAGATATTGCTTCTTCTGTCATCAGTGGCAAAAAGTGATATGGAAATCATTACTGGAGCTCCATGTGATTGATATTTACTGCCATACCAGTACTTTAGGAGGTAAACATAGCACACACTCATTTCACTAAAGAACAGATGAACCTCTCCAGGAGCTCAGGTTCAAGAGCCATCAGGAGCCCATGGTGAGTTCCCCCTGTGGACTTTAGCATGTGGAAAGAAGTCCACCCAGAGAGTAACTGTGGAATGAATACCTGTCAATCCTGGCACACCTATTTACTGCCATACCAGTACTTTAGGAGGTAAACATAGCACACACTCATTTCACTAAAGAACAGATGAACCTCTCCAGGAGCTCAGGTTCAAGAGCCATCAGGAGCCCATGGTGAGTTCCCCCTGTGGACTTTAGCATGTGGAAAGAAGTCCACCCAGAGAGTAACTGTGGAATGAATACCTGTCAATCCTGGCACACCAACTTCCCCGGCCTGGCATTTGGTAGGTTTATAGTATCTCCTCGATCACCTATTCCAAGCAAAAATGAACACATGAGCAGTAAGGATTTAATTAAAACAGTATTTCCTCTTGTTCTGAAGGAATTGCAACTTCTGAGGGGAAATTCAGTGATTCTCTTCATTGTAGAATAAAAGAGGAATAAAGTAAAGAAAGAAAAAGATCTCTAGAACAGCCTCCCTCCCTGCCATGGAGGGATTTATCTACAGACAGGAATTGTTGCACAAAATCAACAGCATTAACCTTTTCACAGCCTCCCACATCTACCGTATCATTCTGCAAGACTGCAGGGAGACTCACTCAGACTGAAGGTCCACTAGGACTCTTCAGAACTTAATGAAGAATGTTTGAAGGGTAATGAATACAAAGAGCGTTCAGAGAAGAGAACAAACTCACCTATTTCTCCATGTGAGCCAGGAGTACCAAAATGGCCTGAGATACCTGGAGTGCCCTTTTCTCCCTGTCACAGGATTGAAAACAGGTATCAGACAACGAGGATGAGGAGTTATCCAACCTTCCAGGCAGCAGAGAGTAACTTATTTTGCAGCCAAAGTGAATCACGATGAATTTCCCTCTAGAAGCTAAGATTCTTAGACTCTTATTTACTGTTAGATGAGTGACAGTGAGTAATTTCTAGCAGTGAGACCATCAGTCCTGGGAGGAAGAGAAAACTAAGCCCAGCACTGAGAATAACTTTTACCATCAGCAACAGATCCAAGGACCTCAAAGGAACCATCTTGGTCCCCATGGGCACAGAACTGGCACATGAAACTTGGATGGTTCACAATGAGAAAGTAGAGAAAAACTTGGATGGTTCTCACAATGAGAAAGTAGAGAAAAAACTCTACTTAATGAATGTTGGAGGGATCAAGTATTTTATCTCCACCTGGACATGGGGAAGAAATTCTTCCCTGTGCAGTCTCTGAGCATGGAACAGATTGCCCAGAGAGGTCGTGGATTCTCCCTCACTGGAGGGGTTCAAGGACCACCTGGACACAACCCTGAGCTATGTGCTCTAGGGTGGCCCTGCTGGAGCAGGGAGGTTGGACCAGGTGACCCACTGTGGCCCATTCCAGCCTAACTGGTTCTGGGATTCTGTGACCTATTTTTCCAATGCTTATTGCATTTTCATCTTTGCACTGCAGTTGTTCAGCAGAATTTCAAGGGGCAAATGCCACTTCCTGGAGAAGCTGAGTGCCAGCACAAGGACACCCTTATTCCTGCGTGGGCATGAACTCACCCTGACTCCTGTGCTGCCAGGGAAGCCTCTGATGCCAGGAGAGCCAGAGGGACCAGGATACCCTTTGAGACCCGTCAGCCCCTTGGCGCCGATGTCTCCTTTCACTCCAGCCACGTAGCTGGGATGCCCAGGGGAGCCTGGGGTCCCTGTCTTTCCAGGAACACCTGGCATTCCCTTGCTACCTGCAGGTAGGGAGGAAGAAAGATAAATAGGGGAAGACTGACATGCAGCTCCTTGCAGGTAAGAAGTTTTACTGCTCGTGGCCTTCTCCAAACACGGCAGCAGGGAAGACTGACATGCAGCTCCTTGCAGGTGAGAAGTTTTACTGCTCATGGCCTTCACCAAACGCGGCACCACAATGTGCCTTACACACATGACATCAGCCCCAGAGCTGCCCTGGGGGTGACTGGGAACACAGCCAGGAGGGTTCACCGTGAGAGACTTTGCTGGGAGGGCTGCAGTGCAGTGCTGCAATGAGTGAGGAGGAGTTGATATGGGAGCTGAGAAGACACTGATTGATAGCCCTGAATGTGTTTGCTTTGCTTTGCTGTGACCACTGACCTTTCGAGCCAAAGAATCCCTTCGTGCCCCTTTCTCCAGCATCTCCTTTGTCACCTTTAACTTCCAGCATCATGCTGGGCATGAGCTTTGGGGGGTCTCCTGGGGGGCCTTGATCCCCACGGTCACCTAAAGGGGAAAAAAACCCAACTGTGTTGCACACACAGCAGCACTGTGCTGGAAAAAGGAATTAACATCTAATCTGGCACAAGCTACAGAAAATCCACTTGCTTATAGCGTAATCTGTGTCAGTACAATGTGTCAGTGGAACAGTCACACATAAGAAAACTTGAAAACTGAGTCATTCTTTTGCACATACAGTCCTGGGGAGCTGGGCTCAGGCTGCTCTGTGAGAGAGAATTTGCCTCTCAGCAGCTCAGCTAGGAATCATGTTTGTAAAATCCTCTGAAATCATGGTTTATAAAGAAACCTGGAAAGCACACAGGAGAAAGCACAGGAAAATAAGTTAGTTCCAGGGAAAGGGAAATTCTCAGTCAAAATGCCTTGAGCAAAAGGAAGTGTTTGGATTAGTTACGAGTTATGTTGTGCATTTCCTTGACTTTATGGTTACTGGTGACATCAGTACGTGATGTCCTGGAGAAAGGACCCACATAGACTGTATGACTGTCTGCAGTTCTTTGTGGGATGCAGAGACAGGTCACCCACCCAGACTTGTCTCCTCAGATCATGCAGTCTTACACTTCTTCACTCAGAAGTGTATTTGCACTTTTCCTTGCAGGATTTCTTTTCACACCTGCCTTTTGCTCAGACCCCCCCTGCACTACTGGGGTCACTGTTCTGCAGTCTCTGAGTTGCAGACCAGTTTTTCTGAAGGATCTATCTCAGGGTACCTAGAAGGAACATTTTGGCCTGGTGGCAAAGTGTTTATTGAAAGATAATTGCAAAGAAAAGAGTTACAGTTTTCATTTCACTGATGATATCAGTGGATATGTTTGTGACTTTTAACTACTCAATTGCCTGGTTTCCTGAATATTTCAGTGCCTTTAGATGCAACTGGAGGAAAACTCAAGTATTTTCCCCTAAACACCTCATGCTTTCTGGGAAAAGGCTCTGTTGACACAGAGGTGCCACTGTCTGAGCTCAGGTGTGTAATGAGATGTCTGTCTCCAACCTTAGACATGCAAAAGTTCATGGGAGCAGTAACCTTTCCCCCAGAGGCCCATGTGTGAAATGGGTGGAGGAATGTCTGAACTAAATTTACCATGTGAAAAATATGTCATCTTTACCTTTGTGTCCTTGTAAAATAGTTCTGCAGATGTGAAGAGCAAACACTGGCACCATAAGCACATACCTTTGAAGCCACGTGAGCCCTGAGAGCCTTTGTCACCCTGAGACCCAAGTGGGCCAAATTCTCCTTTGATTCCCTTGATGCCTGGTCTTCCTTTTAGGCCTGTCATGCCTTTGAAACCATCGATGCCAGATGAACCTTTTAAACCTTCAAAGAAAGAAGGGGAAGAGAATTGTTACCACACAGATTTCTGCAAACTAAGTAAATGTGAACCAGCAAGACATGACTAAACTGGTATGAAAACTTCAGTGCAGCAGTACCCATTTTTCAGGTGCCTTGATGCCCACAGCAATCTACAGCTCTGGGTTAGGCACTCAAGCTCTCTGAGAAGTAGTAGAGCCCCTGAGGTAGTGTATTATCCACTCCTGGATAACTGGAGAAGTTCCAGCTGACTGGAAATTAGCAAATGTGTCATCCATCTATAAGAAGGGTTGGAAGGAGGATTCAGGGAACTCCAGGCCTGTCAGCCTAGCCTTGGTTCTGGGCAAGGTCATGGAGGAGATGATCCTGAGTACCATCACACAGTACATGCAGGGCAACCAGGGGATCAAGTCCAGCCAACATGGATTTATGAAAGAAAGGTCCTACCTGATCAACCTGATCTCCTTCTGTGACAAAGCGACCCGTCTAGTGGATGAAGGGAAGGCTGTGAGTGTGATCTATCTAGACTTCAGCAAGGCATTTGACCCTGCCTCACAGCAAAATCCTAGAAAAACTGGCTACTTGTGCCTTGGCTGGGTGGACTCTTCCATGGGTAAAACACTGGCTGATGGCCCAGAGACTTGTGATGAATGGAGCTGAATCCAGTTGGGGCTGTCACTAGTGATGTTCCCTAGGGCTCAGTGTTGGGGCCAGCTCTGTTTAACATCTTTACTGGTGATCTGGACGAGGGGATTGAGTGCACCCTCAGGAAAGTTGCAGTGTTTAAAAGGTGTCTGGATCTGGCACTGGAGGATCTGGTTTAGGGTTTAGGGGTTCCAGCAGTGACAGGTTAATGGTTGGACTCTATGATCTCAGAAGTCTCCTCCAACCCTGGTGGTTCTATGATCCTATTCTTCTGAAAGATCTGTTCAATGCCTCTCCTAGGGATAAGCCAGGGAGATGTTCCTAGTTCCACATAAGGTTTTTTATCAACCTGTTCTATTATATGTAAAGATATAAATTATGAGGGAGGCCTGGCTGGCCCTTTCTCACCAAAAATTCCCCCACTCCTCTTTTCTAAACAAGAGGATGCTGTTTTATGTGAGTCATGGCAACAAAAAGTTCTTCATTTCTTTTAAATGAGAGCTGGTCAGTACTCCAGAGGTGTCCTAGGGAAAAAAAGTCCTCTTTCCAACTGAATAAAATGAATCATGCATTTTTAAGCATGTCCCCTGCTTTGTGCTTAACTTGGCTTCACATGGAGTTGTATCCTGTTGAAACTCCCTGGGAAGTGTACACAGCTTCACCTTACATACTGTGTGCAGGGCTGGCAGGGGAGGATCTCACCTTCCCGACACAACATTAGCCTCATGCTAAAAGTCACTGTCAAAGTCTTGTGTCTGGCATTGCTCAGTTCACAACCCCCAGCTTCAAAAGACTTTAAAGCCAAGGTTTGGGGAAAGAGCTCTTAAATTTCACTGAAGGCCAGTGGGACTAGGACAGGGGAAAGACTTAGAGAGAGGAGTAAATACTGTATATTTGTTAAAGTGAGAAATAAAACAGCCATTCCCCTTCTAAATAGGGCTGCATATCAGCAGTGGTGGATTCACTGTCCCTGGAGGTTTGTAAGATGAGACTGGATGTGGCACTTAGTGCCATGGTCTAGTAACCACGGTAGGGTTGGACTTGATGATCTTGGAGGTCTCTTCCAACCCAGTTGATTCTATGATTATATGAGCATAGAATCATAGAATTTTAGAGGTTGGGATGGACCTTTATAGATCATCCAGCCCCAATCCCCTGCCCTGGGCAGGGACACCTCCCACCAGAACAGGTTGCTCAAGGTTTCATCCAACCTGGCTGTGAACACTGCCAGGGTTGGGGCTTCTACACAAGCTAGCACTGTGCCAAGCACAAAGCAGGGCAAAACACCCAGTGATTTTGGAATTATTAGGCATAGAATCCTAATTCTTCTGTCTCCAACACAGGTAGACCAGCACGGGATGTGTCCTGTTCCTGTCAGCACAGAACAGCTTTAAGCTACTAGTTGTTTTTCCAAGCAGGTGTCCAGAGCTCACCTTTGTCTCCTGGGAAGCCATCCATGCCACTTATGCCAGGGGGACCCATCACACCACGCAAACCTGGTAATCCTGCATGGCCTGTCTCCCCTTTGTCACCAGACAGACCTTTCAGGCCCACGGGGCCAGGAAAGCCTTGCTCACCATCTTCTCCCCTGGCACCAGGTGGACCTGCCGTGTGAACATGACAACAGGGAGGTTAGTGTTTGGACATACATGATGATTTCACATGAGGCAGCTCAAGAGGGAGAAAATCTCTGTCCTTCTGGATGCATATTGAGGGGGGAAATTAGGATTTCCTTCATCAAAGTACTGCAGAAATGACTGTAAAGATAGAGAAGCTCATCAATGCCAACCAGACTCGTGATCAGCTTGGTTCCATGCTCACTCCTAACAGGATGTTCCCACCTCTTTAACTTAAGAATTAAGCTCCTTTTCCATAAGACTACTCCCATTTGGTAGCTCCTTTCTCCCAGTCTGTCAGCAGCAAGCTCTGACCTGGCTTGGTAGGTGGCTATAGAAGGAAAATCAACAGCTCTGCCAGTAAGGACCATCACCACCCCTACTTCTCATGTGATACCAGCACAGTTTGCAGTCACAGTGACTGCACTGTCCTTTCCCTGGCTGGAAATTAGAGCATGGCATGTCTCACAGCCCCAGGCTTGACTTTCTGCTGTGGAAACCACTCAGTGGCCCTACCACAGAGAACTGGCAGGAGGAGTGTCAGAGGACACCAATACTTCCTCACCGAGAGGTCCTCGAGAGCCAGGCCCACCATCGGGCCCACGGTTTCCTGGTGCTCCTGGGAATCCATGTGCTCCTGGCGATCCTGGCAATCCCATCAGACCAGGCAGACCTTGTGGCCCTGGTTCTCCTTTGGGTCCTGGCAAACCTGGGCTACCATCCGCTCCTGAAAGACCACAGTCATGCATTAGAGAGAGCTTGTCACATACCTTCCCTGTGGATGCACTAGTCTTTCAATGGTTTTCAAGGGGAAAAAAATCAGCAGTGCATCTGAATGCAACAGGGATGAGCAAAATCTGGTTCCC